GGTTTGTTTTTATTGTTACCAGTTTTATCTTTATGTTGCTTGGTTCTTATAACAGTTGATTGAGAAACATTTTCCTTAAATAAAGCACAAATCCTAGCTCTTTTTTCAACAGAAAGATAAATCATAGATATTTTATAAAATTACAAAGAGGCGAAGAATACCATAAGGCATCTTTTTTATATGTGTTGCATAGTTGTTTTGAAGCAAAAAAAAATCGCATAATAAGTGTTGATATTTATTTCTTAAATCGATTAAAAGAAATACATCGCCACTTTGGCAAAAGATTCATAACAAAAAAAAAAATATTCTTAAAAAAAAAGATGAAAGAGATTAATAAAGATTAAGATATAACGAATTCTATATTTAAGTTTTGTAACACTTTGCCTTTTAAATTACAAGATATTTCCATGTATTCAAATGATGCAATACTTTTGATCGCCACTGTATATTATTCATAAATGTCACTTTTAATAAATAAGATGTAATAGTAATTTTAAAATTCTATCTGATTAATTATTTATTATTTTTTAATAATATTTAATCATCTTTTGTCTAGTATTTATCTTATTATTTATTATATATTTTAGTCATAAAGATATTGACATTTTCAAAATTGGCTACTTGGATGGCTAATAGCATTATTTTTTCATTTATCTTAACATTTATAAGAATTAATTCTAATTAATAGTATTTAAGTATCAATTACCATCTATTAATGCTAGCTTTCTAATACCTTTCTTCATAATACTTCAATGTATTTATATAATTTTCAATTTTTAATCAATTTTTTTTTAATAATAAAAGACTTAAAAATAAAGTTTACAAGTTATTTCTGTATCTTTTATACATTTTATTGTTTTTTGTAAATTAGATAATAATTAATTAAATAATCAAAAGTTTTATTTATTAATAAAAAAATATTTTTATTATAGATATTGAAAAAGAAATTGATATATATTAAAAAAGGTATTAAAAAAAATATAATAAATATTTATAGATAAAAAATATAACAAAATAAAAGTAAAAAAACTTAAGATAATATTTTTAACAAAAATAGTTTTTGGTTTTTGTTATATTGGAAAGGTTTTATTATATTCTTTTTTATGATTTTAATATAGTTTTATCTAAGTTTTGACTAACAACTGAAAATTAGTATTAACGTAAGATTAACAAAAGAATTTAGCTTTAATTAATACTTTAAGAAAAACTTTGAAAGATTTACAATAATTATTATTTCAAATGATAATGTATATTTGAAATAAACTTTAAGGATTTTATTATAGAATAAAAATTCAATACAATTATATTTGTTAACATATAACTGTTATTAGTATTTATTTTGTTGGTGATAAAAACTAATTGAATTCTAATTGTTTACAAAATTGTTTTGTTACAGTTGTCTATCTTAATCAAGTTCTAAAGCTATCCTATTTATATTAAATTCGCTAATATAAATAAATAAAATATTAATTGATTACAAATAATAAATGATTAATAATATAAAATAATTAGTAATATCCTTCTGTTCACATGTATTACGTTACATCAGCTGATCTTTTGAATTAATATTTTCCTATTATAATGCCTATAATAATATTTTTATAAAAGAATAGAACTACTAAACATTTGATAAGGCTTTAGTTTCAGATTATTTAGTTAAATAATCTATTGATACTTGTCTTTAAGTAAGTTTTATTGATATAATAAAAACTTTCATTAATAAATAAAGCTTATTATAAAAAAAGTGATAAATAATCTCATATGTAATTTATTTTAAATAAAAATCTAATAAACAAAAATAGTATTACTATTGATTTAAGTATATTAGTATTTTAAATTTTGTTAAATAGTATACCAGTGAAAATATGTATTTGAATCTAAGTTGAGTAAAATCAAAATTTATTATCTATTTAAATATCTATTATAATAATTTTATTTACTTTTTAATTTAATTTTAAAAATTGTTAATGTTATATCTAGTTAAGTATCTACATTTAAATAAAATTTTTTAGTTAATTGATTATTTCTATATCATAAGCATTAATATTATTAGCTAACATTTAAATTTTTTAACAGGATTTATTATATTTTTCAAATAGATTAAAGCAGTATAATTAATGATTAAGTACTATATAGTCTAAATAACAGCTAAACATTTTAATTCTATAACAGAATATTTTCTTTAGAAGATTTTAATGTTCTTTTTGTATAAGTAATAACATATTCTCTTTTTGTTTATCTTGAGAAGAATTACTTCTAAAGTAAAGAAAGAAGTATTGATATAAAAAATAAAAGATTTATCAAATTCAGAATATACAAGAATTAGTAAAGTTATTAAATAACTTTTAAGTAATTCAAAAGTCTTTTATTAATATTAAATCTATATATAAGGAGTGTTTTTTTTTTAGTAATCTATTTAAAGATTCAATAATATTAGCAAATCCTTTAATAAATCTTCTATAGTAATCATAATATCTATTTTTATATATATTTATCTTTCTTCTCTTTTCATATTATTATAATAATCACAAAATCCTAAAAGGTATTAATTATATTATTAAGTTATATTTATCACTATATTGTTATTTATTTATTTAATTATACCATAATCTCTGACTAAATTTCTTCACTTTTATTTATATTGACAAGCAAAACATCTTGTATAATATCTTCTATATATTCTTTAAACAACACTTTTTCAAAATCCTATTTTGTTGCCTTTAAACATAAAATGATAGTTGTTATTCTTCCTTCTCCTTTCTAAAACCAAAAAATCCATTACAGAATCTTTTTAAATAATTCTTAAAGACATTTTTACAATTATTAAAAAAAATTTCAAATGTATGTAAAAGATTAAAAGTCTCAAAAGATAAAAAATTAAATGATGGTAAATATTTTCCTTTATAAATAAATTTTAAATTATTTATCACATTTTAAAAATATTAATAAAGATTTTAATAAATAAAATCGCCTGCAAATTTGTAAAAAAAACAATTAAAAGGATAATTGACTAATTACTATATTATGCTGAACAATTTAAAGAAATTTCAAAAATCAGATAAAACATTTTGATAAAACAAAAGATTTTATAGACAAAATTTTAGACAAAAGAAAAAACAGTTTGAGTTCTGCATAAAGCTCACGTGATATCGTTTAATAATATTGCTGGTTCAATTTTTTTTTTATGAAAAAATTATTATTCAACCCATTTTTAGGTATTATTTAAGAATATTAAAAGAGTAGGTGGAATATGAGACTATTTCTCAAAGATATCACAACAATAATATAAAAACAATAAAATAAAATAAAAAAGGGACTTTTTCTCATTGATATCACAATAATCGTAATAAAAATGAAAAAAAGTCTCTCTCATAACAATCGTTCATTAATAACATGAGAGTTTCAGAATACTATATAAAAATGAAAAAAGGGTCTAGTATGACGAATAGAATATTTTTTAGTTTTTCCATATTTCTACATTCCATATTCAAGATTGAGGAATGCGAATAAACCTTATTACCTTATTGAATTTTATGAAATCAAAAATATTTTATAAATTTTGTGGTTTATGATTTTTGTTAAATATTTTTTGAAGATTGTCTTATTAGAGTAGTATGAAAAATTTTTAGAGATAACTTTTTTCTTCAAGTGTGAATTTTTTTTGAAAATTGAAAAATGGGTTGAGGAAAAACTTCCAATAAATATACCGTGCAAAAAAGTTTAACCGCATGTGCTAATACGTACATATAGTACATATTTATTTATTGATTATTTATTTGGACAAGCCATTTTAAAAAAAAGTTTGTGGCTATATAAGCAAAATATTACCTAAGGAAATTTTGTTCCACATTTATAAAATTCTTTTCAGTTATTGGTCGGAAAATAAGACCATTTTTTTTTTTCCTCGATGACAAACAAAAAAAGGAATAAATTTCCTTATCAATATTCTGCCACATCAGGCAAAATTGCGATCATCAATAAATGCAAAGTTTGCAGCCTTGTTTTTTTTTAAGAAAGCCACAGCACGAAAAATTGACCTCCCCCTCCCATTTTCGTTGTTTCACATGATCATGTGAATCACAAGAAAACTTCGTTTCTGATCAAACTAATATTCAAGGTTCAATGTGATTTCTCGTATTCATGAATGCGGAACTGTCGAGGTGGAATATATTCAATTTTTTCGACCTGCTGAGAACGGCATACTCTTGAAAATAGAAAACCCTTGGTAATATCAAGTCTTGGGTTTTGTAGACGGTAAAGTGCGAAAGAATTCTGCAACGCGATAAACGGTTATGGAATAGTATAGCAATATGTACCGTTACGACAATATTTATAATTTTACTTAAATTACCTCCAGATCATATTGCCGCGTTTTCTGATATTTTTCAACTAGTAGAAGATGATACGTGATATCCTAAAGATGAGCGAGAGAGATAATTCATCAGGTGATTATAGAAGAAGTCTTGTCGTCTCGAAGGAAAAGTTTCAGAACGTAAATCGCTTCAATTGAAAAGAATTTTTCGCGGTATATTCGGAGTAGGGAAGGTTGTCGAATTCGGGTGGGACATAGTGTCATCATAAAATGGGTTGTTGAGGACCTGAAGAATTACAAATGGCTAACCGAGTAGGAGGAACATCCTTTTTAAAAAAAGAAAAAATTAGGGAAAATATAATGTTTTCAATACTCCCTTCTCGAAATTACATTCTCGTTTACTTCATAAACTCGAGTTCCTATCTTCAGTGCTCAAAATAAGTCTGCGAAAAGGACCTTAAAGTTGTCAAAAATGGTGTACGGGATGCGAAATTAAGTTTAGTGCCACAAAAAAATTCAGAAGTAACGAGTTTGTCCAGTATAGCACTGAAGATCAAGAAAGAGAGGTAAGAGTAATTTTAACCTTTTGATCTTTAATTAATTATTGTTATTAACTAATTTATAATACTACTCAGGTTAGTCAGGTATTTACTACTACTCGGATATTGCCTAATGATGAAGCCATAATAGTATTAGAAGTATGAGTTACATTTGTTATATTGTTATATTGTATTTATATAGTTTATTATCAAAATAAATACTATTTTACTACCCTCATAAATTTTTCTAAAAATAGAACTGTAGAAGTTGAACTAACAAAATCGAAAGGCTTGATGTGTGATTAAACTTAGGCAAGTTTAACGCCCAGAGTTCCAAGCACATTTGCTATCAAGGATTGAAATAAAGATAAACTTAAACCTATAATATCACAATTAAAAATTTAAGTAGATCCAAAAATGATATGCAATTGCAACACCATTACGAACCACGACATCAACAAATTCTGCAAAGCCAATTCCAAGAAAATTTCATTAAACAGTGTATGGTTGAGTCCAAATATCATGAATTTGCTGTTCGAATTTCGTTATTAGCTCCAGTAGTTGACTGTTATGTAATTTCAGCAGTATCAAGTAATGGCTTATTTACTTTACCAAGAGCATTTTACTAAGAACGATAGTAAAACCAAATTTATTAATTATTTGTTATAATGAAAGAATTAAATTGCAACTTACCATTATAACTTGGCAATATAATTTTCAAAAATTTCCTTATTTGTTAAATTAATCTGTTTTTTTTTTGACCTTGATCAAACGAGATTCACAAAATATGACAGTTCATTTCCTTCTATAGGAACAAAATAACTGTTCCTCAAAATATTCTCTACGAACTAGGGTATGTTATCTCATCAAGTCCAATTCTAAATCCACGAATTGTATTTAATCATTGGCTCTTATAACTGGGAGGGAGGGGGGTAAAAATTTTTAAGACGCGAATTCTTATTTATAATTAAAAAATATTATTATGCTATTTCCGTCTAGCCTATATTTTCCTAAATCATAACATTTACCCAAAGACGCTAATTGTTCTAAATTGATCTATCTCCTATATGAAATGATCTATATCTATATTTGTTCTGCATCTTTCCTCATGAAATTTACTTAAGTGTCTCCATTTTCACCAAGTAGCCAATCTCCGGAAATGTCAAGATATTCACTAACTGGAACATGTAATTTGAATTACGTGGAGGAATCGGGCTCACCGGTCAGCACATCAATAAAACTACCCAAGCGTTGAAATGACAGAAGTCGATAGCATGGAATCGGATTCAGCCGAAAAATAATAGGATAAAGACTATGATTATAAGGAACTAAACACTATCCAAAAATTTAATTGATAAATAAATCAGATAGAATTATAAGGCTTACTACAAGGTCATAAGCAATTTGAAGTAAAATTTTCCTTATCACAGCCATGGATAATAATGTGTTAGTGGAAAATGATGCCTTATAATGAAAGAACAGCATTAATACATTAATGAAGATAAAAGGAAATATTAATATATTTTCGAAGTTCGAGCACTTACACTTGTAAAACTTAACACTCTCTTAAAACTGAATCGCCACCACAGTTAATATCAACCTCCATTTGTCTAAAATTTTTAACGCAGGATAAAGAGCGCGATTTTTGACACCGGTGACTTAATATATCACGTGAATTTTCGACATCTGCTGCGATACTTGATTTGTATTGCTTTATATTCTCATTGACATTCTATATTCTTTTTTTGGTTCATCCACATTAGAAAAAAAAACTGCCAGCTTTTTTATATAAATTCCTCCTCTCAATCGATCAGGGATTTTTGACTAAAGCATAATAATTATGAATCTCAAATCCATTCACGATTTTTTAGGTAGCATCCACCTCCTCTTTAACAAATAATCCCTTTATAAATAGCTTCTTTTAAACAAAAAAACCCTGGCTTTTTAATAACTTTAATAATCTAAATATTTTGATTCTAAATCTATTTTCTTTCTAAATCTTATAAATTTATAATAATCAATAAAAAAAATTCTGATTTTCATAAAACAATTTTACAATCTCAAAAAAAAATGTGAAATATTCTCTAAATAGAAAAGAAAATTTTCTTTTTTCTTAACTTTTAAATTAAAAAAAATTTGATTTTATTATAAATAAAAAAAAAAAGAGATTAGAACTCCTATTCTTACATAATTTTACATTTTTAATTTTATCAATGTTATTAGATGATAATATTTAACTTAATAAATAAAAAGAAAAAAAATACTCACAAATTTTATTCTTTTTTTTCAATTTTTAGAAAAATAAAAAAAAAGTAAAAAAAAAAAAATAATAATAATAATAATTTTCTTTATAAAAAATAAAATTATATTTGCTAATTAAATGCATCTGCTATATCTACAAATTCATCTAAAGAACCATTTAAAACTTTATCATAATAAAAATTACTATAATTGTAAAGAAAATCTTATTATGATTTTTACTTACAAATAAAAGAATTTATTTCTTTAGATTCTTCTGTTTAATACTAAATGAATAAGTGAAAATATAGTTTATTTAAAAAGAAAATTTATCAAATACTTAATTAGTACTCAGTATACTTCTTTTTTTTTTTTAAATTAAAAAACTAATATATACTTATTTTATTAAAATTAATATAATTTTAATTAAATATTTTTAATTAAAATATAATGTTAATCTTAAAAATTAATTAATTTAAGTTGTCCTTTTAATCAAAGATTTTCTTAATTCATATAATTATTTACAAACAATCATATATTTCTAATTATACAAAAATAATTATTATTATATCTAATTTTCTTTTCAAAATTCTTTCATCTTCACTATTTATAAAATTAAAATCTAATTCTACTAAAAGTATTCTTTATTTTAGATATTTCTATATTCTTTTTTGATTAAGCTTATGTAGTTCTTAACAGATGCTTAATTTGAAATAACATCTTACTTCAATTTAGTAACCTTTAAAACTGATCAAGAAATAATCTAAAAATACTAAAGATTTTGTAATTTTACTTAAATTAATCCTTATAACCTTTAATTTTATACATTTTAGAAATAAAATATAATATTAATAATAATACAAAATAAATATATACACTAATCACTACTCTTAAAAAATATATTTTTATATTATAATATTTATTTCTAAAAATAGAATATTTAATAATTCTAAATTAAAACTCAAAAAAATAAATTTATATGCATATTATAGATTTTATATATTAATATCTTAATCTATTTTAAAATAGATTAAAAAATTGTAATATGTACTAAGAAAAAAATATTAGTTAGTTTATTTTATTTATACCGTATTCCTCCGAAAATAAGCACTGAGTGATATAT